GATTTTTTAAAAAAAATATAGCAAGTATGAATGTGCAACATAGATGGAATTTATTGTGTCTAGGTAATGTAGGTCAGGGGCATTCTACACTATGACACCCTTCTGATTCTTACCCTTTCAGAAACTCTGGCTCTAGTATAGGGGCAATGGCAGCCTGGCTCTCTGGGCGTCTGGCTGGTCTTGATCTGTATTCAGTACTTGGCAACCCCTTTCCCTTATGTGGTTAAGTTGTCACCACTGGAAAGGACTCTGGTACCTACAAGCATGCAGATTGGGGTAATGTCAGCAGTTGCTTATGGGGCTCTAATCAAGAGCATCCCAATACTTGGACCTCATCCGTTCCTGGTAGGCAGAGAGTGGTCACGTAGTAGATAGGCACAGTTGGGCAAGGATTGTTTGACTTTACAAAGTGCATGTGCTATCTATTCCCAGAATGAGGAATCTAAGAAAATAACATGGCCCTCCTGGTGAGCCAGTCTCTCCAAGTGGCCTGACTTCCACATCCTAAAGTTCTCCTGTGGGTGCTAATGATAAACTCGTTATGAGTTCCCATTTGAGTGTTTCTCCACTGTAAACATTTTGAGACAAGCAGTCATGAAACAACATTTACTCAGCAGCTACTGTGTACCAATTTCTGTGTCATTTTGGGGACAAAACTCACTTCTGGGAGGAAGGCTAATGGGGTGGCAGTGAAAGGTACAAAGGAGGAAGAAGGTGGCTGTACTGGGGTGGGATGGGCTTCAGTGCCCCACAGGTCTAATGTGTGCCTAGGTCCCAGCTTAATGAACACACAGGCAGCAGCTTCATTTATCTCTTCACTGCATACCTGCATGGGAGGGGGCCTTGGCTGGAGGAAGTTCAGGTCTCTGAAATGACAAATGACAAGCACAGGATTTGACCTGACAGGGGTCTGGGACTAGACACTTTATGACTCTGAGCTCCTCTTAGTAACTTGCCTAAGTGACTTGTTCATAAAGATCTGGTCAGGTGACCTCTAGATTCTTTTGAATACTAAAGTGACCCCTTGGCTCTATTTCTGTTGTAGAGGGAGTCTCCAAGAGGCACATGGAAGAGGGCCAGCCTCTAACATTCCCTCTGGGAGTGCTTGCAGTGGTGGACCTAATAGAAACCCCCTAGGCCCTCTCACCACCAATTCTGAAATATCATTGACTTGCTTTGGGAAGTACAGGCCACTATTCCAAGCAAGCCAGGTAATGGGATGGAGGAGTGTGCAGCCATCTTTTTCAGTTGCCCTACACCTCTGTCCTTTCCTTGTAGGTCTCAGCTCCTCACAGGCCATTTGAAAGATAATTGCTCTGTCATGCACTCTGCATCTCATGCTTCCTTATCTTTTCCTTCTTAGCCTTTAACCTGAATGAGTGGTTGCTATAAACTATACAAATGGATCTGCCTCTGAGTCCCATTGCCCCAAGAGTACCCTCTTTCCACTATACCTACCCAGTGTGACTTGGACTCCTGGAGAAGACCTGTGGCAGACCCAGGGCTTAGGGCAAGGGCTCTGAGCATAGGGTGAGGGGCTGAAATCCAGCCTGACCTTCCACAGTCTGCTGTTTCTAAGTTGCTTGCCTGACCTGTTTTCAGCACTGACTGCCCTGCCCCCTGTGCAGATGTTCCACTCTCAGTTCTTTTTATCTCCCCAAGAGGCCTTTGAGTGCCCTATCCCAGGCTTTATCCTTCAGTGATGCTCCCTGGGCCCACATATTTACTTGTTTCTTGTTGTGCTTGGTCAAGAAGGCAGGGAAAGTGCTCTGTCATTGAGTTACACCTCAGCCCTGTACCCATCTAGATGCCTTGAGTTCATCTGTTCTACAAAAGGTGTTTTCTCAGCTCTCAGAAACTAGAACCCTCCCTCTAGACTAGCAGCAGTGGATGATGGGGCTGTTGAAACCCTAAAAGGGCTCTGTCAATTTCAAGCTGCTCTATTTTCCCTTCTCTGGGCCTTTTCAGAGCATAGCATGGAAGACATAGTCGACAAAACTCCCCAGGGGGTTGGGACAGGCTTCTACTGAGAGTGCCTCACACAGTGCAAAGCACCTAGAAACTTTCCAAACCCACTGATTTTCAGCAGTTCCTCTCTTCTTGGGACTCAGTTTCTACTTTGTACCAGATAACCTGAGAGTAACTGCTGTTTTAGAATCCTCCCATATGCTTTATGCCTGTCAAACTGCTCAGGAGTCTTGCTGGCCTGACTTGGTGTTATTTGTGTGCTGGCCTCTGGGTCTGTCAACTCAGTGCTTGTCACTTGGCCTGTGGGACAGTGAGGATAAGGCCTCATTTCTAGGCATCCTAAAATTAAAGACATTGTTATAATCTGGGCCTTTTGGATTTTATTTTTTACTTCCTGTTATCAAGGCTATTGTAAATAAAATAGTGGAGATTAAAGAATTGAAGCCTTCTATCTCCTTTATTTTAGGTTTAAAAGGTCAGCCATGACAGACTTGGATAAGATATTCTAGAGCCTGTAGCTTCCAGAATCCTGTGGTGCAAAACATATCTTATAGCATAGTGATAAGTGGCTGAGGCTTACTTAGCCCATGAACCCAATAGAATGAGGAGGAGGGCAACTGGGTCCTGGGAATTGCTTGGCACCTTTCTTCTTGGCTATGGTGCATTGAGTTGTTTCTCAAAAGATCTGTCCATGTCCTTACCCTGAAATTTGTAAGGGTGGCCTTATTTAGAAAGGTCTTTTCACATTTGTAATCAAGCTAAGCGAGGCCTCTATGGTGGTCTTTGATCGACAAACCACTATCCTAGTAAGAGAAGAGACACAGGCAGATGAAAAGACAAGGCCTCTGAAGACAGGCAGAGGGAGAAGAAAGAGTCTATCAGTCTAGTAACACCTAGATGGTGATACCAGAAAAGAAACGGTACCCTCAGAGGGAACCTGGCCTTGCTAATGCCTTGATTTTGGTCTTTGAGCATCTAGAACTGTGAGAAGAGACAATTCTCTGGGGCTTTTTTTTCTGCCCAGTGTGGGGAAGTCTTCTAAAACAGCCCCAAGACATACAGACCTTCCTCCAGTTCCCCAGGCTCCACTGCTTTGGTGTGTTCTTGCTCCCAGCCATTTGACTATGGCCAAATTAATGCTTTATGGGCAGCATCGCATCTTATCTTTTTATGTGGAGCCAGTTGTGTTGATAGCAAATCTGTCTTGTCTAGACTTCCTTAGTCTTATGGCTCAAGCTGTGCTGCCTACCTTTTTGCTGCTGAAGCAGAGGCTTAAGGGATCTTTGGGACTATGTTACTTCTTTTTGGCTCTTGCTCTGGGAAATTGTCTTTTGGTGCTAGTAAATCTAAAGGGACACTGCATGCATCAGAGAAACAGAAATACTATGAAGAGATGGCTCAGCAATTGTGAGAACATGAGGCTCTTCCGGGGGCCTGAGTGAGGAATCTGATGCCCTCTTCTGGTCTCCACAGGCACTGCACATGCACGGACACATCAACATCAATAGAAGTAAATCTTACAGAAAAGAAAAATATCATGGAGAAAAGGCGATGAGAATATGCAGCATGCTGTGGAGGTAGTCACAGTGCTGTGATTTACAAATGATAGTGGTCATTCATAAGGCCTTGCCACAGAACTATTTATGTGGCTATTCCTGGCCCAAAGTGGGTGACACAGAGCATGGATGTCTACACGTTGGCATTCAGGGGGATCTGCATTCAGGGGGATCTGGAGAAGGTAGGAAAGAGGCTCTAAGAGTAAGTGAGCATGAAATTATAGGCTTTGTTTATGTGGCTTTAGAATAAACAAGAAGTCAATGATCTGAACTCAGGTACACTGCTAATGAGGATGCAAAAAAATTGCATAGATGCTATATTAAAAACAGTTTGATGGGCTCTTAAAAAGTTTAACACAGTGGCCGAAGAGCTGGCTTGGTTGGTTAAGTTAGTTTTTGCCTTGCAAGAATGAGGACCCGAGTTTGATCTCCAAAATCCTTGTAAAAAAAAGAAGCTTGGTTCTTATAATCCCAGTACTAAATAGACAGACAGGAGGTTTCATGGGGTTTGTTGGCCAGCCAGTCTAGCCTAATTGGTGAGCTCCAGGCCAATGAGAGACCCTGTCTGAGAAAACAAGGTGGACTGTACCTGAGGAATGATACCTGGTGGTCTCCTTTGGTCTCCACCCTACACACACACACACACACACACACACACACACACACACACACACACACAGAGGGGGGGAGGGAGGGAAGAGAGCAAGCCACTCACACCTTTATATATATGAATATGCATGTTCATATGTACATGCACATTAAATACAGTTACCATGAGCTCCCCAAATCTTGTGGCTTGGTATATATCAATTCCCAAAGTAGAACAGTCACAAAGGGTAATATTTGTACCTAGATTCATATTAGTGTTAGTCACATGCCTAAAATGATGGAGCAGTCCAAGCATTTGTGATTGTGTGGCTGGACACAGGGTGTCTGGGTAAGAACGGAATATTATCCAGCCTTAAAAAGGAATTGAAGTCTGGTATCAGCTACAGCATGGATGACCTTTCGGGATATGATACTCAGTGAAATGAGCTTGTCACAGAAAAATAAATACTTAGCTCATCATATTTCTAGGAAAGGCCTTATATGAGAATGTTGCAGCCAGACATCAGCATAGGAGACTGAGGAGGAGGACTGCGAAGCTCCTGAGAAATGGCATGGAGTTTAATTTTTGAAAAGGCAAAAAAATTCTGAAGAACCGTCACAATTCTCCCACTGACCCATCCAAGGACAGTGGCCTGAATCTTTGGAGCAATCTTTACCTGGTCAAACCAGTCACTGGGAGGTGCCACAGGTAGAGCACCTCTTGCCCACAGGACCAAGTGCTCCATAGAACCCAGCAGGGCGGCAAGCACACGGTAGGCTATGACTGTGGCTTCTCCTGCCCTGGCTCAGTGGCATGCAGGCACCTTTGTTTGGTTTCACATGGGAAATTACCAAATAATAAATCACACATGGGACTCAGACCCAGATTATAGGAGCCTTTCATTTTTTTTTTTTTATACACAGAAATTTTGGTCTACTCTTTAAATTAGGAAATTCAACTACAGACTTTAATTTATTATGCATCTGTGGTCTTCCTCATTAAGATAGTTTGTTTGTCTTTGTAACAGGCAGATAAAAATGTAAAACAGATTTATGAACTGAACACAGTTGACCAAGCCATTCCATAGAGTATAATGCTTTTATAAAGAGAAGCTTCTGATGAGACAGGCCTCGGCCTGAAGACTGTACAAGAACCAGAACAGATGATGCAGGTTCCCAGGGCCTTTTCCGAACCCCACAGCTCAGTACAAAGGCAGCCTGGGTATCACACAGTTGACACTGACATCAGGCAACGTTACACAGCAGCATTGAGGGTTGGCTTTTTAATACAGAGTGGCCATTTGCTCTATCTGTATGTCTACAACAGAGGATGACAAGAAGCCCATGAGCATAGCTGGACACAGCTGACCTGCTTCAACTGCAATCCTTCACATTTTGATTTCTTTTTGAAAAACACAAAGACCCTCAGCACACCAAGTTGCCCTTTTGTTGGGATGGTTTAAACAAGGACACCAGGGAACAATTTACAAATGGGAAACATTCTCAATATGCCCTTTAGAATAAAAGGGATGGCTTTATGTGACCTGTAGCTGGCATTTTTAAAGTGGAGTTTCTCTTGTAACCGAAATTCTTTTGCCCGAGATGTGACTTACTGCTGCTCAGGGGTCACCTGTCATTGGTGTGACCAGTGGGGAAATAGCAAGTGTTGATTTGACTTTCTGTGGATGCCAGACAGCTGAGACAAGCTTTCTGTGGGGCGAGGTGGAAGCGAAGTAGGGCAAATGCAGCTCCTGAGGGTGCCTGTCTTTATTCTCCATCTCACACCTATCTCTTGGTAGACAAAAAGCTCACATCTGTGTCTTAACAGACAAACCTCAGACCCAAGTGACAGGCATGTGTGGGAGTGGAATGCGATTCTAGACATCTTCCTGAAAAGTGTGACACCCATAACTTCAGAAGGTGGAGGAACCTTCAAGGGCAGGATGCTGCCCGTTTCACTGGTGTCACTTTGGGTGTCCAGACTCAGGATCTAGGAACACAGGGGTAGGTCAGCTTTCTACTAAGAAGAGACTCATCAGCCTGTGCTTCCTTGGCAGGCCAACAGACATTAGACCTCTTTCCTCTGCCTTCTTCTCTAGGAAAGCAGGCTCGGCACAATGGGTGCCCACACTGCTGAGACAGGCTCCTGGGGGAAAATGTCTCAGGGTAGTCAGACCTGAATTTTCAAGTCTCACCTGCCTGGGTGGACCCAAGGTCTGCTGACCTCATACTCAGTGCCCACAGACCCAGAAGAGCCACCAGCAAGAAAAGAACAATGGTAACAGTTGATGATGGCCATTTCCCAGAAGGCTCCATTTCTATAGTTCTGCCTTCTGGGTTGTATTTGCCCGGTGGGCAAGACCTGGTTTGTAAGCATGCTTTGGTAGGTGGCATGTCCGTGCCCTCGCAGACACTGAGGTGGTCCAGTGAGTATTCACTCTCATTTGCCAAAGCACAAAGTGCAAGTCCAGAGGAATGACAGGGACAAATCTGGACTGTCCTTGCAGTTGACATCTTAAATTTGATGGCCACTCTTCCTCAGATGGCCTCTGTAGATGTCAAGCCTCACATTGTCTGTGCTTCATTACAGCTGTTCTTAGGGTTCATCATGCTTTCAAAGTTGGGGTATGGACAAAGAAAGCCACCAGCCAAAATTAAGGTGTTGGAAATGAAGTGGAAGGAAGCCAAAACCAAAACTTGTCTTGCTGTGCGTTGGAGGGGACCACTGTCATCGATACTTTGGTATTTTCCTTTTAAATAAAAATGCCATTGAAAAGTCTTTCTCCTCTACAGGCAGAGGTCTCAAAGTGCAAAGGTTCTAAGTGCAAGGCATCCTTGCACAGCACTCCCCAGACTGCCTTCACTGAAATCTCAGCAGGATCAGGCATGGAGATACTTAGGTCAAGGGTTTGGGAAGGGAAGTACAGTACTGAGAGGATGTTCTTGCAGTCTTGTTCCCTGAAAAGAACCTTGCTACATTCAAAATGAAACTTCAAAAGGAAAATGCCTAATGAGAGGAATGAAAATATCATGCCGATAAGTGCTTCCTTATTCTTTAAATATTAATTTTGCCATATATGTGTATATGCATATAGACACACATACATATAGACACACGCACGCACATGTGGTCTGCAGGTGGGTCTAGTGTGCTTTGCAGTAGAAGGTACATTTGCAAGTGGCTCCCCCTGGTGTCCTGTCTGCACAGTGTGCACAGTGACCTCCTTGGTTTCGATACACTTTTGTGGGGGTGGGGGATATGGGTGCAGCAAAGCTCCAGATAGGTTCAGCTAGCCCCTACCATGCTGTACAACCCCAACGGTGAACACAGGGTGGAACTAGTGTTCATTAAAAAAGAGAGAGAGAGAAGCATCAGTAGAAAAAAAGGTGGGAAATGCATCTTGTCTCATGCTCTCTTTTCTCTTCACATTGGGTGAAGAACTCCCTTCCTCCATTTTCCTTCATTCTCCCTCCCCCACATCCTGGGAGCCTGGTCTGAAGCCTAGTGGGCTGTGCCCTTATTGAATGCAATTGGCTTCTTGTCAATACCATGTAAGAAAAGTCTTTAACCACATTAGTCATTTCCCTCTTTGGCAGGTGCACGGGTTCCCTTCTCTGTGTATGCATGTGTGACTGCATATGTGTGTGTGCATGTGTGTGTGTGTAGATGTGTGTGTGTGTGTGTGTGTGTGTGTGTGCATGCATGCACATGTGCTGAGAAAAGTTTCAGTTAGAGGGATGTCTCCATGCTGTGGAGTGGGCTCCCGGGCCTGGAAGAGAATGCTGAAGAGGTAGCTGACTTGGTGGCATGCATGGTCAGGTAGATGCCGCTGTCTATGGCATTGTTGTTCTGGTTAGGGGGTGGGGGAGGTGGGGCCCTCAGGCGTTCTTCATTTTCATCCACATCCGTGTCATCGATGAGCGGGATGTTGTGGGTGTAGTCATTGATAAGAAACTCAGGTGTTGCCATGAAATTATGGATGCAGCTCTTGGATTCTGGTTTCTCCAGGCCTTCATAAAGCGAGCTACGGAATGCTTTCACCACCCGGATCTGAAGTGGAGGGGGAGGGACATAACCCACATGGGAGAAGGGAAGGGAGGGTAGGGAGAAGAAGGGAGAGGAGAGGGAAAAGGAGAAGTAAGGGAGAAGAAATGAGAGGAGACAGTCAATGGCTAGCTGGTGCTGGAAAATTGTGCCTACATCAGAGGCTGGCACATTGCATGATGAATGTTCACACATTAGGGGACTTGTAGGGAATGAGGTGGCTTTGCTGGGCTGTGGTAAGGATTTTTACAAGTCTGGGCCTTCGTGTTGAAAGCATCCTGACCTGAGTAGATACTTATTACCTTCCTGGTCTTTGCCCTGGGAACAGAACTGGCTTAGGTGGCACCTGAGGTCTTTGCTCAATTTGAATTCCAATTTGGTATAAGATAAAGATACTGAAATTCTCCAAAGAGTGTGCCAGTGGCTACTTCTGTTCCTGCATCTTAGTTCTTCTTTCAGGGGTGCACCAGACACTTGAATCACATTTCTGTAAACATCTCAAGCCTCCCTAATATTGCTGTTCCTCCTGACCCTCTTTTACTTTACCAGTGGCTCTGAAATCACTTTCTCTACTGATCCTTTGTCCTGGGATGTCCCAGAGCTCAGGCATGTCCCTGTTAATCTTCCTCTCTGTCTGCATCTCTGTATAATACTAGAAGCTATTTAGGGATTATGGCACTGAACCTTCCTCAGAGCTCTGTTCCTAGGAACACAATGGCCCTAACATGGAGGACAAGACTGAAAATGTCCACACTTGAAATTGCAAGTGGCAAGCCTGCTACTCTTCAGCTGTGTTGATCTACCAGTTAGCCTCATGGTCTTCTTACAGCTCTGGATCATAGCTACATGTGTCTGATCAGGTCTGATTAAATACTTGGTACCTTCAGCAGCCCTTGGAAATCTATCCTTCTGGCCTCTCCCCACACCCAAACGACCCCCTATCTTCTTCCTCCTCTTTGAGCTCCTATTCAGACAGCCCTGCACTTTGCTGCATGCTCCTTGTCCATCCCACTCTTGTTTTCAACTTGCATACAGTGTTATATTCTATAAGGAAGTACTTCCCACAATACTTGGACCTCCCTACCACTGCAGCCATGTGCCTTGAGCCAAGCTTACATCCCCTTCAGCCACCCGCACCTCCTGCAGGCCAGTACTTTTCTTGCTTGAGACTCAGCTTCTTCCACCTTTGGCTTTTCCATGTTCACTCACAAACTCCTGCCTCATTATCTTTTCAAGCCACAATGCAGCTGTCACTCTGATCTCTCCCTGGCCCCACATGCTGGGTTCCTTCCTGCTTTTAGAACCAGAGGTCAATGAAGAAGCCTCTGCTCGATTTCAGACAGGCCAGTGCCAGCACAGCTGCCCATATGAATCGTCTGTACTAAAAAGACAAAGCCAGCTCTGATGGCCTCCAGGTAGCCTAGAGGACAGTAGAAGGACTGCCAATTCTCCAGGAGGATAAGTGGGTCCCCCAGCTCTAGTTAGTTCCTCCCAGTGTGAGGCAGTGGGCACATTATAACTTCTAAGTCTTTTAAAGGAGCTAGGATTTGGTTTTCATGGTTTAGATAATGTATCTGTAAACGCTGGCCAATAAGTGAATGAGTCCTAGATCTCTTCTGGTTTTGTAAATAAAGTTTATTGGCAAGCTGCCATGCCCATTCATCTGTATACCGTCTGTGGCTGTTTTCACGCTACAAGGGCAGGGTTGTGCAGTTGTAACAGAGACCTGGCTTGAAAAGCTAAATATGTTTACTCATTGGTCCTTTATAGGAACAGTTGACAATGAATCACCCAGACTACAATGAGACCCTTTCAGCTCTCCAAGTTAGGACCTTAGTGCTGACAACTCAGCCAGGCCAAATGCAGTGCTCCTAAATCACTTTAAATGAAGCAAACCTCACAGCCCTTGGAATGCAAAGGCTCTAGAAAATTAGGGTTTCCTAAATCCACATCTAAGATCCAGTTAGGATTATTTTTTCTGTCATATAGGTGGATGGCTAGCTGTTCTTCAGGCCACTGTTTTCAGACTGGTTGTTTAAATAGGTTTAATATGGAACTGAAAGTAATCGCCAATTCTTTTTTCACTTTAAAAATTTTATTTATATTTTTATAAATTACAGTTTCCCTTATCCCCAATTTTAATGAGGAGAAAATTCAACACCTACGTTGCTTCCTTTGTCAGGTTTTCTAGGGCAAGACTGGCATGCTGATGCTGGGGACATCACTAAACTTTATCATGTCACAACAAAGAGAGTGAGCTGCATGTTGTTGCCCTCAAACGTGGGGGAATCTGTTAAGTCTTTTGGCAATGCCCAGGTGGCTGGCCACAAACATTCTCCTCAGTGAGCCAGCATCCTCAATTGACCTCACATGGTCAGGCCAGACCCTGTTCAAACCTATCCATGGGTTTCACAGCACCTGGCTCGACTCCAAAGTCCTTCCCTGAAGAGAGACACCCAGGCCACAAGGCAACCCTCATAGGCTCCTCCCTGCCGTTTGCAGCTGCTGCTGCTCTAACGTGTTCCATTTGCTTCCTCCTTCTAACAGATCTAGTGCCCACTGTACCAGCACCTGGGGATCACATGCATGCCATGTCTGAGTGAGCGCTGTGCCTCTGGTTCAGAGGGACACCTACTCCAGTGTTTTGAGTCATCTTGAGGGTAACATCTGAGAGTGAGTCAGCTTTTCTCCAGCTCCTTTCTTCCCTGAATTGAAATCTGGGGCTAGAACAGAGTGGTTTGCTGTTGATCTTATGATTGGGGTCTTTTCAGCCAACTGAAGGCGCTTGGTCACAGGCACTGTCCTGGAAGACTGACAGGTTCAGGCAAAGCAGCAAATGCCTGGAAGAGTGGCCCACGCGTTCTAGAAGGCAGGGATTGTGCTAGGTACCTGCAGGCATCTCCAAGACCCTGGGATTCCTTCTTCCTGACCTACAGTTTGGGGTTTCTGGCCAAGCTGCAGCCAAGGCTGAGTTGAGCCCATGTGTGACCCAGAGCGTAGCTTGCCCTGGCTTTCCCTCAGCCTCCTGCCTGGGTTTCTCAGTTTGCTATACTCAGAGCTTCCATGTCTACTCTTCCCCCTGGCCTTCAACCCCTCAAGGCCTATCAGACCACCTAGATGTCATCAATTCTTTGAGTATCACATCCATCCAGGACCCCTTTCCACATCCTAACTCCTACTACTCCCAGGAACCTCCCTTAAAGCTCTCACTTTCATATCCTGAATCACTCCGTGACCTTCTGGGCCCAGGGTTCTAGCCAGATTTCAGAGGCACCTCACTAGCTCCTACTTCACCCTCTCTACACATTTCACTGTCAGCTTGTCCAATGGGACCAACCCCAGAACATGTCACGAGAATCCCTTCCCTCCTCCACTACAGCTTCCATGTCCTCCCTGAAGGTTGATGACCTCGTTTGCCTTGGGCCTCCATCCTGCCTCTGCCTGACATACAGCTTCTGACTAAGGGTCTGGTGACCCTATGGTGGCCGGCAACATCTCATGTCCAGATGATGTTTCCAGGCTCTTTCTGGTTACTGAGTCAGGCCCTGTCACTTCCCTACTTGACTACAAATATTCTTGTAAGTGATAGAACTGGCCTGGGTGTTGACTGGGGGTGGGAAATCATTGAACTTTAATTTACAGCCCATCTGCCTGTAGGAGAAAGTATTTATTTGTTTGTTTGTTTGTTTGAGGCAGGGTCTCAGTATGCAGACCAGTATACAGATGGTTTCAGACTCTGAATCTCTTGTTTCAGCATTGCTCCTTTACTCAGTGCTGGAATGGCAGGCATGTACCACCAGATCCAGCTTTGCAGGATAATTTTACATAGAAAATGTCTCTAGGAAAGATTAAACCCTAGATTATGGCTGAGGCTTTTGGGAAAAACAAAGGTATCAGGTTAGTCTGCAAAGGGGGTGTTTCCAGTTGCTAATCACCCAACTAAGATGCTATGGCTCACCAACCTCATTCATCACCATGTACTTGTTCCCCACCCCAGTTCCACAATCACATTCAGTTGTTGCCTCACTTCTGCAACCCATCATGGCTGGCACCCCAAAAAGACTTTTGATACTTTATCTTTTGCCATTCAGTCTTTGACCAAGCAAAATACTTGATGCTTCCTCAGCCTTTTGAGATCCTTCCTAGCCTCTTTCTGCCTGACCCTTCCCTAATGTCCAGGGGCTGCTTCCTTAGCCTAGGTGCTCCTCCATACACACAGCTTCCATTGTACCGGTCTTCATTGTTCTTTCAGGTCCAGGTGTGGGTGTCTGAGCCATATGTCACTCCCCAACATAGTGTTAACCCTTGATAATCCTGCCATTCCTTTCCTTCAAATGACACCCAGAATCTCCCACTTCACACCCACCCAACACCACTGCCACACCAGGCTCAAACTGGCTGCCACAAAGACATTTTTTCTAGTCTCCCTGATTCTGTTATGGACCTCACAGTCTATCTTCTACATGGCAGCTGGTCAGTCCTTTCCAATAAAACCCACCTCCAATGCAAGGGAATTACTAGCTGCATCTCCCACAGAAAACTTGTAGCCCAAACTAAGGGCCTGCCTTAGCATCTCTCATTCTGTCTCTTTTACTACCTACATCCCCTGACAATTTCCTTCTCGTGGGGCATTAGCATTGTCTGTCTATTACGCCACAAAGATTCTTCCTTCAGTGAGCTTCTCTCCCTACCCTTTCAGTGAGTTTGGCCTTGTTCCTCTAGCACCCAATCAAAAGTACTGAATCATAGTTATTTTCTGTTCTGTCTCCTCTCAGTGAAAGCTAACCATTCCACTCAGGATAGGACTTTTTCTCTAGGGTTCAATGGTGTCTCCAACATCCAGCAAGCTGCTCATACTCAGTTTACTTGGTGAGTGGGTATAAGATATCTGGTCCAGCCTAGCCTCTGTCTCCTATAGCAGCTTCCCCCTTCCAAAGCATTCTACCCACTTGGCTATAGCCAGTTAGCTGGAACTGCCTGAACACCTAAGGACCCCAAACCCAACC